ACACACAGCGTGGCCCAGCGAGCCTCAGCCTAATACCCCACTTCGGATTTGTTTTCTATGGTTTACACCCGCTTTGGGTTGGAGGGGGGAAAAGAGTGACGACAAGAGCCCTTTCCATGGACATGAGCATGCATGGCCATGAAGGGGAGGATGGGATCAGAGGCTCTGGCCCGCGGGTTTAGGGGGAGCCCCTGCCTGGGCCAGCAGGGAGTGACATTCTCTGCAGGTAGCAACATTCTCTGCAGGCTTGCACCAGCCTCTCTGTCATCACCACCACTCCTCCAGCTCGTGGTGGCCAGAGCCACGGCAGGCCCCTAAATTCCTTTCTCATGGAGAAGTTGCAGTGGTTAGAAAGGGGAAATATGCGAAGGAACTAAGATAAATAATGCAGAATGAAAACACAGAGAGTTCTAAGAAAAATGGCTTTCCACTTGATCTAAAGCAGAGATGCTAACCCTGACCCCAAGTGTTGACCCGGAATTGCTCTTCAGCCTGCCCCCACTGGTCCCACAAGGTGCCCTTGTGCCTCGGTTCAGCAACTCTGACCCAGAAGCCCTCCTCTGCGGCTGTAGGCTCTGGGAAGCTTCAAACACCACCCTGGCTAGCTTCTTCCTGTTCCATGCCATTAGTTAGTAGGATAGCATCGAGGAAACCCACACAAGTCAGAAATCTGTCCCAGCTTACTGAGCCTTAGCTCAGTGCCACTTTCCTGGGCTGACTGATTCCCCCTTCTGCCCCAAGTTAATTCTAAACCCCTACTCCCCAAATCTACCTTGGGGAGAACCTTCCAGAACGTTGATGATCCACAACACCAAAGTACTTTGATGGTCAGGAAAAGGAATGTAAATCCCTGTTGCCTTTGGCAACAAGGTGTTGCAAAAGTGAGGGCACTTCAGCTGGAGGGGACAGCTGGAGTAAAGGAAGGGGAGTGGGGCAGCGGTGTTTGGGAAATTGTGAGATCTTCATGTCAGGAAAGCAAGGAACTCACACAGCAGGGCATGGAGAGAAGGCTGGCTGGCAACAGAAATCAGATCAGGCATCAAAGGGCCTAGAATGTCCCTAAATGGAGTCCCCAAATGTCTATTTGGGGAGCCACAGAGACATTTAACAGTATCTAAGCAGACAATGGCCCAATCCAAGCAACATTTTAAACAACTGTGGCAGGAGGCTGGAGGTGTTTGGGAGTGAGCAGCTGGGGCAGGGAGCTAGAGGAGGAGGCTGTGGGCAGAACTGGTTCTATGCCTCCTCCAAGTCAAAGTGGACCAGTGGAGAACAAGTAGTCTCACTGTTAAAGACATTCTCTGTGGGCACCCAGGTAGGGAGAAGGACATGGACATGGGAGAATCCGTAAGACCTGACAAACAGGTGGCTGCAGAGCAGAAAAGTAACAGAAATGACTCCTGAGCCCCAAGCCTGGAGCGCAGCAGGAGGAGGTGCCATGCACAGACACAGTGGGGTCAGGAGGAAGAGCTGGCTGAGGCCAAGGAGCGTGTGGAGACCAAGCAGCCCCACCCAGGCCTGGGGGCAGAGCCTCTTGTAATGGGGACCCTCCCTGGAGGCAGGGGCCCCTCTCCTCACCAGGGCCACGCCCAGCTCTGTCTTCACCAATTGATAACCAGGACTGACTGAAGCGAGAGAGAGGCCCACTCTGGGAGAACATTTTTCTGAAGACAAACTTGAGACTGTGGAAGAACATGAGTGGAGAAGAGAGCCCAGCACAGCAGCCTGTGGTGTCCCGAGGGTGAGAGGAGAAAGAGCGTGTGCTCTGGCCATCAGGATGGCTTTCCCAGGTGCGTGGGGAGGAGGAGGAGCAGTGACCCCACTGGTCGCAGGGAGGTCAGAGGGCCTGAGCCCAAGAGAGACTATGGAGTCTGAGACAGCAACCAGCAGTGGCAGAGCTGGAAGGGAGCCAGCGCACCAGGGCTCTGGGAGTGGCTCGCTGGGGCCTGGCTAGGTGTCCTTGGTGGAGTGCTTCTGTGACCATGCTCAGACACAGGAGGGGCAGGCGTGGAAGGAGATAGGGACAAGGGGACAGTTCTTTTAAGAATGGGAAGATATGAGCAGAGAAAAGAGGGAGGATCTCAAGACTGTAATAAGAGATAGGATGGTGCAACCTCAGGAAGGGCAGATGAGGGGACTGAGCAAAGAGGTCCCATGTTCATCTCCAGGGCAGGAGGTGCCCTGAGAGCACCAGCAGGGCTCTGCCAAGATTCTGAGGGCTCTCCACTAGGTAAGACTTAGGGTGCCTACTGGAGATGAAAGGGCCATGGGTAGGTCTACAGCTGGGGAGAGAAGTAGAGCACATATTGAACAGCTTTGGGGTCTCCCTAGAGCACTGTTTCTCAACTGTAATGTGTGTACAAATCACCTTGGATCTTGTGAAAATGCAGGTTCTGATTCAGCAGGTTTGGGTAGGGCCTACGATTCCAAGGACTTAGAGGGTAGGAGAAAGAGATGGAGAAAGAAACTGGCATAAGAATTCACCTTAAAGGACAGACCTAGCTTTGAGCATCCCACCTGGGGTAAAAGTCTAAGTGGGAATGGCAGCCCCTGTGTGGGTGACAGGGAGGAGGGCACAAAGAGAAAGGGATGGCAAAGAGGAAAGCGGTCAGGAGAGGAAGTGGGGGACATTTGGTGTGGTAGGCAGCTCAGCACTGCCCTCTGAGACCCCTCATCTGGGTCCATGAGGCAGAACACTAACTGCACACTTGGAGGCCCCCCAAAAGAGGATGGGAGTCAGCTGAGGCAGGAAGGTGATAGTCCAGGGGTTCTGAGCATGCAGGCAGCCGGCAGGGCAGGCCACCCCATGCTGTTCGGCAGGAAAGTGCTGGACTCATTCTGGCCTTGCTCAAAGCCGGGCCAGGACACATGAGGCTGGACCGTGGGGAGAGGGACAGGAATGGCCCTGCCCCAGGGTCAAGGGTGAGATGATTTCTGTGCCAGGAACTAATAAGAGAGGAATGGAATCTGAGAGGAGAGGTGGCTGGGGAGAATCAGGAGTGAGCTGGGCTCTGAGCCCTGCGTGTCCAACTTGCAGTCAGAAATCAAGAGGTTTCTGAAAGGCACAGGTGGGAAATGAAAATACTTTCGGTTTAGGCAACCCGGGATCCGGAATAGGGACTGCGGGTGGGAGAGGTGCAGGGAAGTCGCTCAGCATGTCAGGGGCCCCAGCCTAAGAGAGAGAGAGATGTTTCAGTCCTTTCCTGTAGCCCAGGTCAGGCACGCCAGGAGGGACGCCGGAGGACAGCGCCAGCGGGAGAAGAACATCAATAGTAAAAGCTTGGAGGCGTCAAGATGAGCAGCAGATCTGGGAACGAGGCGTCGGGCGAGCAGAGTACGGCGGGTACGGGGGGAGGGAGATGAGGCCGCGAAGATGCTGGAGCTTCGTCCGGTGGCGACGGGGAGGCCGTGGAGGTTCCTGAGCGCGGCGTGGCGCGCATCTGCCCCTTCGGCCGGCTCCCTCGCCGCGCAGCCCCGATCCTCCCTGCCCCGGCCTCCCTGGCCCCGCCGGGCTCTTCTGTTCCTCCCGCGGCCTCGGCCAGGCCGCAGCCCCCAGCCCGGCGACCGACTCGCCAGGGTCCGCCCCGCCACCGCGGCCCGGGCCCGGCCGCTCCTCCCCCGATGATGTCACGTCCCCGGCCGCCCCTCGGCCGGCCGCGCCGCCCCGCCCCCGCCTCCCCCGGCCCCCGTCCCCTGGGCCCGCCCGCTCCCGACATCCCTCCTCCCGCCCGCGCTCCCTCCCTTCGGCTCCCGCTCCCCCGGGAGCGGCGGCGGCGGGATGGCCGGCCGCGCCAGGCCCGGGAGCGGCGGCGGCGGCGGCCGCGGCGGGCGGCGCGGGAACCGGCCCCGGGGGGAATCGGCCGGGCTACTGCTGCTGCTGCTCCAGGTGCTGCCGCCCGGGGCTGCGGCTGGGCCGGGGCGCCGGGGCACGCGGGGCGCCGGCGGCGGCGGCGTCTGCTGGCCCGGCGCTGCCCCTGCCTTTCCCCGGGACGCGCGGCTGCTGCTGCTCCTGCCGCCGCTGCCGCCACTGTCACCGCCGCCGCCGCCGAGCTCCGCGCCCGCAGCCTCCGCCTCCCGGATGGTAATCAGCGCCCCGCGCCGGCGCCGCGGGCGGGCGGGAGGTGGGGGCGGCGAGGGGGAAAGGGCGGGCAGCCCCGCGCCCCCGCCTTGCCCGAGGCAGCTCCCGGGGCGCTCGGGCCCCCCCTCCGACGACCGCGGCCCTGGGCAGCCGCCAGAGCGCGCCTCTGGGGCGCCTCCGCGCGGACCGGTGCAGGCTCCGCTCCCCGCCCTCCCCGCCCCGCTCGCAGTCCGCCCGCCAGTGCTCAGGCCGCGGGGGAATCCCTCCATCTCCCCGCCCCGCGCCCCGGGAGGGGAGGGGACAGCGCCGGCGCCCGCGGACCCGCTTTCTCCGAGGGAGCGCCCTGGAGGCGAGCGCGCACTGAGCCGACCCGACTTGGCGTTGCGCTCCTGGAGGCGCCTGGTGCCGTCGGGTCGGGCTGAGCTGCGACGCCTGCAGCCTCGGCGGGACCGGATCCCGGGCGGTGGGGGCGCCCACCGACTGCGCGCCCTTATGTTCCCTGCGCAGGACGCTCTGCCCCGCGGCGGGCTGAACCTGAAGGAGGAGCCGCTGCTGCCTGCTGGCCTGGGCTCGGTGCGCTCCTGGATGCAGGGCGCGGGCATCCTGGACGCCAGCACCGCGGCGCAGAGGTAAGCACTTGGACCGGACCCGCTGCGCTCGGGCTGGACGGCTCCGCGCCGCCGCCTCCGCTCAGCTCGCGTAGCTGCTGGAGTGCGGGGTGGAAGGAGCCCTAACTCTGGACGGTCCGGGCGAGCTCTCCCGCCCACCCTGTCCCCGAGCGCCAGTGCTTCCTCGGGAGGCTGTGGGGCGGGCCGGGGCGGGGCTTCTGCCTCCACTCTGGCTGTCCCGGCTCTGATTTCTGACGGTCGCTCGCAGGCGCCTCTGATTTCTGACGGTCGCTCGCAGGCGCGGTGGGAAACGCCACCTCAGGCCTGGCCGTCTACGGCTCTGAAGCAGGAGGCATCCCCGCTGCCCAAAGTCCCTGAGCCATGGCCCACAGCCACCCACCGTCTAGGAACGTCCAGCCCCTCCTTCCTGGGCAGTCCCAATGCCTCTGCTTGTCCAATTCCGCGGCTCACTGTCAGGAAAGGCAAGAAACCCAGCCCCTTTCCTCTTTCCCACGCCCCTCGCCCCTCGGAGTTACAGAATGAGGGTGTGCAGAGCCACGGAAGCGACTGGGGGCTGAGCAGCCGGGAAGGGATGAGATGGGCAGTCGCCTTCTAGGGACTGATGGGGGCCGGCAACGGGGCAGGGCCCCTGCCTCTCTCGGCCAGGTGTTTTTCTGGCAGGCCCTGTGGGAGGCGGTGGGAGCCCAGCACCCACACCTGTCTCCCCTGACTCCTTTGGAGAGGGTCTGGGTGGGGGACTGACTCCGGGATTTGGACTGGAACTTTAAAACTTTATTGGCCCACCCCCAAAGCACCTGGGGCCGCAGGGTTTTTTGTACTTCCAGCTGTGAGCAGGGAGGATGGCATTCAGACATCGAACGCCGAGATCGTAGTGGTTAGAACTGGGGAGGTGCTGACTGCAGACAGCTGGGGCAGGCGCCCTGGGCCCCCGGGAAGTCTGAGTAGCTGCTGTCCTGCAGACTGAAGGGATTGCCAAGCAGACCAGGCCTGACACCCTGCCCACACCCCCAGTCCTGTCCAGAGCGCGTCACCCCTGGCGCCCCCACTTCACCCTGTAACAGACACACACCCCTTTCTTGCACCAACTGAAGCCTTGTTCTGTGTGTCTGCCCCTTCCTGGCTATCAGGAGGGAGCTGGTCTCTTCAAGAGGAGAAAGGCTCTTGTGGATGAATTAATTTCCATAAGTTTTACAAGTGATATAACTATATTCCAGGAAAACTGGAAAATAAAAAACCGAATCCTACCTCTCAAACCCAGCTACCGTCGACACTTTAGCGTATTCCCTTCCTGCATTTCTCCCCAATAACTTGTGTTCTCCTGTGCTGTGTTTACGATTTCACGTCCTGCCCATCTCTCTGATGGTTCTGGCTTTTTGTTTAACTTGAGATGATCAATTTCTTCACGTGGCCCACTCTTTCTCCTCACGTCCGGCTGTGTGCTGCGAGCTCCTTGTGAGGGTGGGGAGTTCCAGTGGGGTCTCTGGGAGTGAAGGTTCCATTTCTCTCTGGCCTTCCCCAGTGCCTGCCCAGAGCCAGCAGTCTCGATGAAGGGGAGCAGGGACGAAGGAGGAAGTGCTCTGGTAGCCTGCGTGGGGTGCATGAGGTGTGTCGTCTGCACATGGGGGCTCTTGGGGGGTGGAGGTGTCCACTCTGAGTCCCCAGGGCCACACTGCTGGGACTCAGAGGGCTTCTGTAATTTGAACAGGGGCGTTTCTTCAGGCCTGGTTTGCTAATCCCCAAGTCTGGAGACTTCTCTGTCCCAGGACACATATTGGGAGCCCCCACAGGTTTGGTCGTTTGGTGGTTTGGTTGACTCTCCTCTCTGCTCCTGGAGGGAACAGGCCAATCCCATGTCCTCATTCTTCCCAGTGTTGCCTGTCATCTGTCCCGTTTGTCTCTTGTTCCTCAGTCAGTCCTCCACTCAAGTCTTCCCATCCTAAAGCAGCAACAACCAAAATTCCTTCCCCTGCCCCTGCCTCCCTCTCTGACCTCTGCCTGGTTTCTCTCCCTCTCATGTCTGAAGAACTTTGACAGGAGCACCCTCTCTCAAGCCTGCGAGTTATCTTTGATTTCTTCCTCACCGGCACCCTAAATGCGCCTGGTTGTCAAGGCTTAGGGGATGCTCCCCTCTGTGTCCTAGTCCCCATCTCAGTGCCCACAGCCACCACTCTGAACATGTCACCCCTTTCCCTCCACTCCTTCCTGGCTTGAAGGTGAACTGTTCCCTGGTTTCTGCCCCAGCCCCAGCCCGGCCTCAGCCCCTCACCACTCCCCCATGTCCATCTTGCATGTACCAAGAGCCAAAGCAATATTTCCAAAGTGCTTTTCTCTGATCATGTCTCCCCCTTGATTAAAAATAAAGTGATCCCCCACTTCCCCCGGATACTTGGCATTCAAGGCTCAGCACAATCTGACCCCAGTCTTCCTTTTTGGCCTTGGGCATCCAGTAGACACTTGGAGAACTAGCTGGACCTCCAGTAAGTCCTGTCTTCTCTTGAAACAGTCCCTGCCCTCAGTACCCACACCACCCACTGAATCAAGTCCCACCAGCCTTAGGGTCACCCACCCCAGCACCTGGTTCTATCTGTGCCCAGGGGAACCATTCTTAGTGCTACCTAAGGAAGCTTACCATAGGCCAGTATCTGTTGTCCTCTGTCTGTCCTGGTCTCCCTTGCCCTGCCAGCTGGGGCCTTCCTCTAGGACAGGGGTGGTGACTCATTCATCCTTGTGTCCACAGCACCTAGGACAGGATTGAGCAGTCTGTAGTGGGACAGTGAGTCTTTGCTGAAGAAAGCATTAGTGTATCTTAGAAGTTCCTGATTCCATTGCTATTGGGCTCCCCTTTGACCTTGGAGGGCTCTAGGTTCTACCTGACCAGGTAATGGGGCAACTACTCCTCCCCAGTTCTGCAGCTCAGCTTTTACAACAATGTCATGATTTTACAGGAGGTGGGGGAGGAGGGGAAGGCCTAGGAGGCCTGCTAAAATCAATGAGGGAGGCTCTGCCAACAGGAAGGAAAGTTCTGGACAAAAGATCAGTAGGGAGAGAAGAGGGGCTGCATCCCCTTAAACTGGAGGCAACAGGGAAGAGAAGGGAAGGCTTGTAGAGAGGGTCTCCCTACCAGGAAAGTCTGCACAAGGACCCTGCTCCTGCCCTGAACCAACAGAACCTTATCTCTGAGCCCCACATGCCCTGTCCCACCACACCTTTCCCCGACTCCTCTGCGGACCCAAGTCCTCCCGTGGGCGTGCTCAGAACAGAAGTAGCTCCCTTCTCCTCGTGATGTGCTCCCCGGTCTGGGGGGACCTCTGGAGGGCTCAAGCCAGCCCTCCCCCTGGAGGAGACCCCCGGAGGACCCAGACCAGCCCTCCCTCCGGAGCTGGTCCCAGCACACTAGCAGGGCCCCGGAGAGGGAAGCCCACTGGGGCTGCCTTTCCTGTAAGCAGCTGCAGGCCAGCCTCCCTGCTAGGAAATGCTTTTGTTTGCTTTAATAATTAATAGCCACTCCTCAGCCTGGGACCTGGCAGGCAGGCCTGTGAGTGGGTGACGAGAGGGTGGGCAGAAGAGAAGCAGGGCAGGCAGCCTTTAGGTAGAATCCAGGGCCAGAGGAAGAGTGGGAGAGCAGGCCAGGGAGACCCTTCCCCGTCCCTCCCCACCTCCCAATTTCCTGGGGCAGGTGAGCAGGGCAGCACCTGGGGCCGTGGGAAGAAGGGGTACGGAGCCTCCCCAGCCTCAAACCTCCACTCCAGCAGACTGTCTGGACCCAGGGTCTGGGCAGCTGCCTCTAGCCACCAGGCCCTTCCTCTGCCTCTGCGGTTGAGGTGGGTGTGCCCCAGGGAGCTGCTGCTTTTATCTTCCCCATCTGCATCTGCAGCACAGCCAGGTGCTGGGCATGGGGGGGGGGCTGGGCAGGGCTAGGCCAAGAGATTGTGGCTGGGGCGGGAATGCCAGGCCCAGTGCGGCCCTCATCAGCAGTCCTAGGGGCCCAGAGGATGCCTGCAGGGGACAGTCGGCTTCGTCCATGGAATGCTTGGAGGCAGGGAGGATAAAGAGGAAAGGAACAGGCCGGGCGCTGTGGCTCACGCCTGTAATCCTAGCTCTTGGGAGGCCGAGGCGGGCGGATTGCTCAAGGTCAGGAGTTCAAAACCAGCCTGAGCAAGAGCGAGACCCCGTCTCTACTATAAATAGAAAGAAATTCATTGGCCAACTGATATATATATAAAAAAAAATTAGCCGGGCATGGTGGCGCATGCCTGTAGTCCCAGCTACCCGGGAGGCTGAGGCAGAAGGATTGCTTGAGCCCAGGAGTTTGAGGTTGCTGTGAGCCAGGCTGATGCCACGGCACTCACTCTAGCCTGGGCAACAAAGCGAGACTCTGTCTCAAAAAAAAAAAAAAAAAAAGAGGAAAGGAACAATAACTTATGAGCCATGCCAGGAGGGGGCAAAGATGAGCTGAACTTAGAGAGAGACTTTAGGGAAATCTGAGAAAAGGGATGGGATGCCAGAGACAGACTTTTTGCTCCTTCCACCTCTCAGGGGGCAGGAGAAAGAGTTGTCATCACTGTTGCTGATGACATCAGAGATTGTCCCCCATTTCCCCAGCGTCCGAGACAAGCAGCAGGCAGGCCAAGCCAAGGCACTGCTCAGAAACTCGGGCTGTCCAGGCGGCCAAGAGTTAGGATTTGGTGGGGGGAGAGGAAGGCAGAAGGCCTGGGGCTGCCTGGGAGGGGAGGCCAGGGCTCCAGCTCAGTCAGTTGTCTTCTGTGGGATTTGATTGGCTGTTGTTAAATTGCTCAGGTTTATAATTAGCAGGTAATCTAGGATATAAAGATCCCCGAGTGGCTTTGTGACTAGAGAACAGGGACTGCACTGGGGCTTCATCTGCTCCAGACAGCTGTGGTGGGGGAGAGTGGCTGCCTCGAGAAGGACCCCAGAGCATCCCGCTCAGCCTTGCCAAGGAGCATCTCCAGGGACCTGCCAGGTGGTCCCAGCAATGCAGCCAGACAAGTTTGCAGCCCCCATCGTGTCCCCACATGCATGCCCGCATAGTCCGGAGCACAGGCCACGGGCTGGGAGGGTCAGGGTGCCCTTGGTGTTGCCTTGAACCTGGTCTCCCTGCACACCCCTGCTTGCTACTGGGCAGGTTTACTCCGACCAAAAAGTGTCTCTGCAAACGGAATCTTTTCTGGTGTCACAAACAGTCTCCTTTAATTTTTGGTCTATTTCAGAACCAAAGATGGGAAGGGGTGAGTAAGGCATGGCAGAAAACACAAAAGTGACCATGTTCTCCCAAATCTGGGTTCTTGAGGACAGGAGCAAATGCCCCACTACCTTAGCACACTCAGAGGTTGAGAGGAAAGCATTTTGAATACTGTGTTTAAAACAATTTTTTGAAGAAAGCAAGGGAATGTATAATTCATTTTGGAGTCTTGCAAAAGTGGTTAATGTGGTTAATGCCGTTTTCGTCACTCAACTGCTTTTTTCTGAAAAAAGCATTTATGTGGCATGGGTCGTTCGCTAATGTTGCTAAGTGAATAAAATGTTTCTGAATTAGGGGCTCCAGCCATACATGTGCCAGGTGAGACAGTTCTTATATTTGTTATAAATTGATACCTGCCGAGCTGCGCTCCGGCCTTTGGGGCTATAGCCCTGCCAGTTCCCATCACAGCCCAGGCCTCTGGCTGGCTGGTAGTTGGGGGCCACCCGTACCCCACAGGGCCCTTGGTAGAGGGTCTGCTTCTCCCACTGCCATCTGCTTCCCTCTGCTTGAGGACGTGCCCACGTGCAGGGCAGGCCAGCAGTACCTGAGAAATAACAGCCCCAGTGACTGACAGGAGTTGGTGGATAAATACCCAGCCCCTCACCCATCTCTCCGGGGGGATCACTGAGGCACACGTCCAGTGCTGTTTCCAGAGTACCCCAGGGGACTGAGCTCCAGTTGCCCACGGTGATCACTTGTTGAAAATGTGCCCTTTCAGGCGGATTGCTCGAGGTCAGGAGTTTGAAACCAGCCTGGGCAAGAGCGGGACCCCATCTCTACTATAAAGAGAAAGAAATTAATTGGCCAACTAATATATATAGAAAAAATCAGCCAGGCATGGTGGTGCATGCCTGTAGTCCCAGCTACTCCAGAGGCTGAGGCAGGAGGATTGCTTGAGCCCAGGAGTTTGAGGTTGCTGTGAGCTAGGCTGATGCCACGGCACTCACTCTAGCCTGGGCAACAAAGTGAGACTCTGTCTCAAAAAAAAAAAGAAAGAAAAGAAAATGTGCCCTTTATGGGCTACCTTCTCAGCTTTGTCTCACCCCCAACCCCACTGTTTCCTGTAATCACTGCCCAACTAAACTGGCATTTGAATCTTTGTTAAGGGTTCTGCTTCTAGCAGAACCCTAATAGAACGCTTGCCTCCCTGGGCTTCAGGGGCTGTATTCCCCCTTCCCTCCACCTTTCTTTCTTTTAGATTAAGGACATATATAGACTGGGCGTGGTGGCTCACGCCTGTAATCCTAGCACTCTGGGAGGCCAAAGTGGGTGGATTGCTCGAGGTCAGGAGTTCGAAACCAACCTGAGCAAGAGTGAGACCCCATCTCTACTATAAATAGAAAGAAATTAATTGGCCAACTAATATATATAGAAAAAAAAATTAGCCGGGCATGGTGGCACATGCCTGTAGTCCCAGCTACTCGGGAGGCTGAGGCAGGAGGATTGCTTGAGCCCAGGAGTTTGAGGTTGCCGTGAGCTATGTATATATATCAATAGGTATCCTCAGAGTTTCTCCACACATCCCAGTGGCTGTTTTCCACAGCCCCACCTTAGAGCTGACTCCCCACGGAATCAAAGATGCTGGCCTTGGTCCACATGGCTCTGTCTCCAAGCCAGTCTGAGAACAGGCAGCGGCCCCCACCCCCACCAGTATCCCACACATCTGCACCCAGATGTGCCCATCAGGGGCTCTCGGAGCACTCAGCACCTCCTGAGTTGTTTGAGCGTATCTCTATGTTTCTTTCTGTCTGTTCTTTAAACTTGGTTTGTTTTCTCATTACAAGAGCATCAGCTATTCCCAGAGGATAAAAAAATCTTCCCTTCCTCCTGCCCAACTCTCTCCCTGTGGGGCTTGCAATTCCGTTGGCGGGTATTCATTGTCACCTCCTGCATGTCCTAGGTGGAGGGGCCTTAGTATCAACCAGGAGAAGGAAGGCACCGTCCCCACCTGCCTCTGTCGCTCTCACTTCCTCTTCCTCCCCACGGGCTGCTCCTCTTTGCCTCTTGTTCATAGGAAATACTAGGATGTCTTTAAAGCAAAACCTTTTCTCCTTTTACCTTGATCTTCTCTGGGTCCAGCAGGGCTATGAACGGGCCAGGCTGGCAGCGTTCCCAGGCAAGGAGCATCCCCTGCTGTGCTCTGTAGTCCTCCCTGGGGGCTGGGGCTGGGCTGGGGCTGTTGTTGTCTACCTGGAGCTGCAAACCAGCCCCATGGATGGGTGTGAGCCTGGGAGGACGGTTGTGCCTGAGACCCACAGAGCTCCAGTAGAGAAGGGCAGGACTCGGCTCTGGCTGCCTCATGGGAAGTGGAACTGAGCCCACCCCCACCACGGGGCAGGGCGCAGGCACTGGAGGCAGTGCAGCCCCCAGGCTGGCAGCACTGGACACTGGTCCACAGACCCTAGGGAACCTGCCCTCTTGCCCCTCCCCTGGAGCCTGTCCGCTTTCTCCCCAGTAATCTCCTGTGAGGAGGGTGGGCTGGGCAGGGGAGTTTGTCCTGGGTCTTAGGCCAGATTTTTCAGGTCCCATCCTGGGCACAGCCAGGACCCAGGACTGGCTGATATTTGCCAGGGGGATGGGATGGGTAGCAGCTCAGGCTGGTGTCACGGATTTATTCTGCACCCGTCTGGAATTTGGCCTGGGCAGTGCAGGATTTCTGTGTAGAAAGGGCAGGCTGTGGTCAAGGAGATTCCATTCTTTCTCAGCATCCACCCCTGCCCTGCCAAGCCCTCTTTCTTTCTCTGTACCTTCCCTCCCCGCTGTCTGAGAGCCTGCAGGCACCTTTCCTAGGCTGGATGACAGAATAAATGGCCGCAGTGACCTAACATGGGGTTCTTTCACAAACCCACCTCCTCTGGCCTTCTCTCCCACTGGGTGGTCCTGGAACCCGTCCTGGGTGGAGTTCAAGCTAAGCAGGTCCAGGGAGCAGGAGGGAGGAGCTCAGTTTTGATGCCTCATTAGCATATTCATCAGCAGTAATCAGGGACCTGCTGTGATCAAAAGCCCTCTTAGGGCTTCCCTGCCTCTTGCTGGCTGGGGAAGAGGGTGAGGGGCTGGTCATGGCCTCCAGGAGAAAGGACTGCTGCCAAAGGGGGAGGGGAGGCGGGAGTGGAAGGATTTGGGGGGACGTTCCTGGAGAAAGAAGCATTTGAAGAAGAAAGAACCTCTGGTAGGAAAGAAGAGGTGTTGGTGCTCTCTCCACCCCCATCTTGATCAGGAGACAAGAAGACCCATTGCTTCTGCCTCCTAAGTCAGCATTTCATCTGGGCCCCTGAGGCCGCAGGCAGGTTCTCGGGAGGAAGAACAATTTTCCTTTTCTTGGCTGGGGATGGTGGCTCACACCTGTAATCCTAGCACTCTGGGAGGCCAAGGCAGGAGGATTGCTTGAGCTCAGGAGTTTGAGACCAGCCTGAGCAAGAGCGAGACCCCATCTCTACTAAAAATAGAAAAATAGGCAGCTCATAGTAGCATGTGCCTGCAGTCCCAGCTACTCAGGAAGCTGAGGCAGGAGGATCACTTAAGCCTAGGAGTTTGAGGTTGCTGTGAGCTATGATGACGCCACAGCACTCTAGCACAGGTGACAGAGCAAGACTCCGTCTCAAAAGAAAAAAAAAAGGATTTTCCTTTTGTTATTGATGTATTTATTATAATCTGTATAAGTAAAACAATAAAAGCAAGTCCCTCATGCCCATGACATCCCAGATATTATGGCTTAGCATGAAGCCAAGTAGAAGAGTAAATTGATTTAAAGTTATACAAAGAGTAATCCTAGCTCTCTGGGAGGCCGAGGTGGGTGGATTGATCGAGGTCAGGAGTTTGAAACCAGCCTGAACAAGAGCGAGACCCTGTCTTTACTATAAATAGAAAGAAATTAATTGGACAACTAATATATAGAGAAAAAATTAGCCGGGCATGGTGGCGGGTGCCTGTAGTCCCAGGTACTCCAGAGGCTGAGGCAGTAGGATTGCTTGAGCCCAGGAGATTGAGGTTGCTGTGAGCTAGGCTGATGCCACGGCACTCACTCTAGCCTGGACAACAAAGTGAGACTCTGTCTAAAGAAAAAAGCAAATAAATAAAGTTATACAAAGAAAAATATTGAGTAGTGATGAATATGGCAGCCATTGTCGTAGTAACGTGCCCCTGATGGACATCTGGAAAAGCTGGTCTAAATGGCTCCCAAGGCAGTTCCACCATCCCCATCCTCTCCCCTGCATCCCTGCAGCAGCCTCTCACTTGTCGCCCACACTGCCCCCTCCCCCACTCCATAGCAGCCTCTAAGCCTTGCTTGGCTTCAGAACTTTCTAGTGGCCTTTAGTCATGTTTCCCAAACCACATCCCTCAACAAGAGTGCTCTGTAGTCACGTAAGCATGATGTATTAGTTATCTGTTGCTGGATTAAAAAATGACTCCAAAACTCAGCAACTTGAAACAGCAAACACTTATTATCTCACACAATTTCTAGGAGTTAGAAATCAAGGCGCAATTTAGCTGGTGGTTCTGGCTCAGGGCCTCCCATGAGGCTACAGCTGAGAGCTGGCTAGCACTCTGGGAGGCTAAGGAAGGAGGATCGCTGGAAGTCAGGAGTTTGAGAGCAGCCTGAACAAGGCGAGACCCCGTCTCTACTAAAAATAGAAGAATTGACCAGGTATGGTAGTGCATGCCTGTAGTCCCAGCTACTCAGGAGGCTGAGGCAGGAGGATCACTTGAGCCCAGGAGTTAGAGGTAGCTGTGAACTAGGCTGATGCCACAGCAGCACTCTAGCCAGACTCCCTCTCAAAACAAACAAACAAACAAAAAAACGAAACCTGGGACTGCGGTCATCTGAAGGCTGGACCGAGGCTAGGGGATCTGCTTGCAGGGCAGCTCAGGATGGTGAGTTAGGGCTGGCCGTTGGCAGGAGCCCTCAGTTCTTCTCCATGTGGACCTCTCCTGGGGCTGCTTGAGTGTCCTCACAACATGGCAGCCGGCTTCCCCCTGAATGACTGATCCAAGGACAAGAACAAGGCAGCAGTCACAATGCTTTTGTGATCTAACCTTGGAAGTTATATGCTATCACTACTGCTGTGTTCCACTGGCCACACGGACCAGTGCTGACACAAGAGGAGAGGGGACTAACTATATAAGGGCATGATACCAGGAGGTGGGGATCATTGCGAACTGTCTTAGAGGCTGGCTACCACACACAGGGAGCACCAGCCAGAGCCAACTCAAGCAGGGTCCATTCCTACAGGGTGTCCCCAGGTCCCCCAATACACCCGTGTATGCTGTGAAGCCACATTTCTTGGCCATTGTGGCCACAGCACCCTTTTCTTTTTTTTTTTATTTTTTTTTCTCTCTTTTTTTTTTTTATTTCGGCATATTATGGGGGTACAGATTTTAAGGTTTCAATAAATGCCCATTTCTCCCCTTCCCCCAAAAGTCTGAGTCTCCATCATGACCATCCCCCAGATGGTGCACATCTCACTCATTATGTATGTATATACCCGTCCCCCTCCCCCCTCCCACCTGCCCAATACCCTATTACTGTAGCACCTATGTGTCCACTTAGGTGCTACTCAGTTAATACCAGTTTGCTGGAGAATATATCTGGTGCTTGTTTTTCCATTCTTGGGATACTTCACTTAATAGTATGGGTTCCAGCTCTAACCAGGAAAATATAAGATGTGCTATATCACCATTGTTTCTTAGAGCTGAATAGTACTCCATGGTATACATATACCACATTTTATTAATCCATTCTTGGATTGATGGGCACTTGGGCTGTTTCCACAGCCTTCTTTTTTTTTTAAATAAAAAAAATTGTATTTACTTAGAAGCATTCAGAATGTCAACAAAACAGCTACAGCTTTTTTTTTTTTTTTGCAATTACAGAGTGGTATTCAGTTTATAGAACAACAATTATTTCGTATAAGCTGCATCAGAGACAACTGAAGATGAAAAAACTACCATCCTCATATATAACTAATTTGCGCTGTGCACCAACAAGAACCTGCTTTAAATTTCCATGCCAATTTACAACCCCCATGCTATACCAGGCAAGGTTAGTGGCTATTGAAAATACCACCAGGACAGGGCTTGCTAAAGACACATTCCGGCCGGGTGTGGTGGCTCACGCCTGTAATCCTAGCACTCTGGGAGGCCGAGGCGGGCAGATTGCTCGAGGTCAGGAGTTTGAAACCAGCCTGAGCAAGAGCAAGACCCCATCTCTACTATAAACAGAAAGAAATTAATTGGCCAACTAAAATTATATATATATACAAAAACTTAGCCGGGCATGGTGGCACGTGCCTGTAGTCCCAGCTACTCAGGAGGCTGAGGCAGTAGGATCACTTGAGCCCAGAAGATTGAGGTTGCTGTGAGCTAGGCTGACGCCACGGCACTCACTCTAGCCTGGACAACAAAGCGAGACTCTGTCTCCAAAAAAAAAAAAAAAAAGACACTGCACAGTTTAAAAACAAATCTTACACAGCCTTACATTTCAATTTTTTTTCTTTAAAAGGAGTGAGTTGTGTACAAGGAGGTTAAATGCTTTATAGACAAGAAAAAAAAACTGCGATAGAACCAACTTATTTATCAACTTCTTCATCTTCATCTTCCTCCTCCTCTTCATCCTCTTCACCTTCCTCATCTTCCTCCACTTCCTTCTTTTTCTTGCTTTCTTCAGCCTTGACGACTCTCTGTTTTGCTGCATCAGGCTTTTCTTTAGTTCGGTATGCAGCAATATCCTTTTTGTACTTTTCCTTCAGCTTCGCAGCCTGCTTGTCATCTGCAGCAGTGTTACTCCACATCTCTCCCAGGTTCTTTGCAACATCACCAGTGGAAAGGCCGGGATGTTCTCCTTTGATTTTAGGGCGATACTCAGAACAGAACAAGAAAAAAGCTGAAGGAGGCCTCTTGGGTGCATTGGGATCCTTGAACTTCTTTTTTGTTTCCCCTTTAGGAGGGATATAGATTTTCATTTCTCTTTCATAACAGGCCTTGTCTGCCTTTGCCATATCTTCAAACTTTCCTTTCTCTTTAGCAGACATGGTCTTCCACCTCTCTGAGCACTTCTTAGAAAACTCTGAGAAGTTGATTGAAGCATCTGGGTGCTTTTGTGCTCCTCCCTGCAAGTCTGCAGAAAGAATGTGTATGATGACATTTTGCCTCTTGGCTTCTTAGGATCTCCTTTGCCCCGTTTAGTTATTTTTCCTCAGCGAGGCACAGAGTCGCCCAGTGCCCGTCTGGCTCTGTCTTGCCCCGGCGCTGTCTCTATGGAGCTCAATGCCCTGCAATGGCTGTCAGGGTGGGAGCCGGACGCAGCCTCCTCACTCTCTCTGCTCTGTGACTTTACTCTCCACAGCACCCTCTTCTAAAGGGAGGATCTGGAGCCATGAGCCATGTAAGGAGCACATGTTGGAGGACCCTGGCCCACAGAAGAGAGTCTGAACTCCTCCCCTGGGTGCTTGCGTTCCTGCATGGTCCCGCATGAGCTTGCGACACAAACGTTTCTCTCCTCACTCCGCTTTTTGAAATCTATGGTCCTGCGACACCAGCACGCACACGTACGGCGGCCTCTGTTTGCTCTGCCCTGTGCCTCCGCCACCTCTTGAGCTCCTAGTCATTCCCCAAGCACCTGGGGAAAGCTGCCATCTTCCTGAAATGTTCCCCTCCTCTCTGACAGAAAGAAGGCATGTTTTCGCCCTGTCCTGCTCTAGTTTTGTGCGTGGTCACATCTTCTGGGGGGCACTTACCACTTTGTCTTGTGTCACAGCTCTCTGTATCTATCTTGCCTCCCCTGCCAGGCATTTTATCCCAGCCCCACTTGTTGCCATGTGGCCAGTGCTGGGGACACCACTGGAACTCAGGAAATATTTGGCGGACAGGGCCTTGGTTCTTCCCTTCCTCCCGCTGTCCTTGCTTCTGGGCAGGTGTCTGATGAGCCAGGAGAGGGCTCTCAGCAAGGCCAGACTAGAAGGCCCTCCTGCCCGAGGGAGCTCATGGTTGTCTCTCCCCAAACCTGGAGGCAGGTCCCCCTACCCCCGGGCAGGGTCCCCCCACCTTCAGCCATACCCCAGGGTCCAGGCGGGCCAGACTAGTGGCCCTCAGGCAGTTTAACGTCTCTGAGGGTCTGATGAACATTGTCATTCTCCAGGCAAACACTCCAGGCTCCTGGACCCCTCAGCCTGGGCTGGGCTTCAGCGGGATATTAGTTCCAGGGCCTCACGCGTGCCCCTTGACATCCTAAAGTGCAGTCACAGGAGTCTCTGGCCAGTAAGATGGACTGGTCTGCACATTGATGGTGGCGATCAGCCTTGCAAAATGTGGGGCCCAGGGAAAAGCCCAACGGGAGTAGGGGAGCCTGACAGGACTGCTTCTGTTGCAGGCACCTGCTGGGCCTCTTGCTGCCAAGAGGGCAGGCTGGGGTGACCCTGGTGCTGGGAGACCTCTGTCTGGAACTCAAATGGCCCTGGCCAGGGTGGGAGAGGCCCGTCCAGTTTGACTTCCTGCCCAAATTCTTGCCATGTTTGAGCCAAGAGCTGGCCAGCCCACCTACCTGGCCCGAGGTGCTGGGTGTTTCTCACTGCAGGGCCTTTCCAGTGTTTTCCACCTCCTCTCCTCCCACAGTGGCGTGGGCCTGGCACGGGCGCACTTTGAGAAGCAGCCCCCCTCCAACCTCAGGAAATCCAACTTCTTCCACTTCGTGCTGGCCATGTACGACCGGCAGGGGCAGCCCGTGGAGGTGGAGCGCACGGCCTTCATCGACTTCGTGGAGAAGGACCGAGTGAGAGGCTGGTGGGCTTGGCTGGGACTGGACGGGGCGGGACCCCCTCCCCCGACACCCACTGGGGCAGATGAATGGATGGGTGCTGGATGCTGCAGGAGGGTGGGGAGTGGAAGGGAGGGAGAGAGGGCAGGGCTAGGAGGAGCCCTGAGCTCCAGACCATCCTCCCCATCTCGTCCCTGCAGGAGCCTGGGGCCGAAAAGACCAACAACGGTATCCACTACCGCCTCCGGCTGGTGTACAACAGTGGTGAGTGGGGGCCACGGCCCTGCCCAGCCCTGACCCTGAATGAGTCTGGGCACCGCAGCGCCACGCAGCACGCCAGGGCTGGGAGGGTGTGGGTGTGGCCTGGTCATCGGAGGCCGCACATGCTCCTGACCACAAGCCCTGTCCACCTGCCTACCCTAGGACTTCGGACGGAGCAGGACCTGTATGTGCGGCTCATCGACTCCATGTCCAAGCAGGTGAGCCAGCCCCGGGCGTGCAGGCCCGTCCTGCCCTCCTCTCGGGCTCAGTGAGCATCCTCTTACCCCTGTTCTGCCCCAGCCTGTGGCAGGAGAGTGTGTGGCTCTTGCCGTCTGTTCTGGAAAAGACCCTGGCTTAGGTCATGTCCCTAGCAGACCAGCCTGACGTGGGAATTCAGGTGCATGGATTTATTGGGGAGATGGGAGGGAATCTCAAAAGAAGGGGAGGGAGGGAGGCAGGACAGGGAGCTGTGCAGGGAGCTCTGGACAAGGAATGGCACCAGACGGGTCCCCACTTGAAGCAAGGAGGCCAGGATTTTCTATCCTGTATGGATCAGTCAGTTATTGTCTGGGGACCACTCCTAAAGGGAGCATGTCACCTCTCAGGTGAGGCAGCTCCTCTGCACTGAATGCAATTCTCCAGAGAAAGCCCTGGGCCATCACCACTGCTGCAGCAGGGGGAGGGTGTACTGGCCCAGCGAAGGGGTCTGGGGCAGCCCAGGGGCAGGGAATAGCCTGCACACAACAGGGAACAGCCTGCACACAGCAGGATGCTCAGGGGTGAGAGGAGGGCCATGATGCAGGGTGGTGTCTCCCCCACCAGCAACCTGACCTCGGTCCTGGTGCTCTGGGGACCCCCCTGGCCCCAGGCAGCTCTAGCTCTGGAAAGAGCTGCTGTAGACACACAGGATCTGCAGACCTCATACCGTTCTTGCCACCCTGGTGGTGGTCCTGGTTTAGGGGGAGAGGATTATCCTCCACCTGGGCAGCCGGGTTCTAAGCTCCTGCCTGGGCTCCCCAGAGCAAGGAGGAGGCTGTGCTCTTCCCTGGCGCAGGGCCTCCCTCAGCCTGGTCACTGGCCCACTCTGTACTGCCACCTGCACTGGAGAGGAGCCTCCCCCCCCCACAGCCTGCACCCTTGCTCTTCCCCCAGGCCATCATCTACGAGGGGCAGGACAAGAACCCCGAAATGTGCCGCGTGCTGCTCACCCACGAGATCATGTGCAGGTGAGACTGGCTGTTACTTGCCCCCTCCTCCTTTGCCAAGGTGTTGCCAGGGACTCTCCCACCAGGCCCTGCCCCCTCCTGGTGCCATCAGCC